ACATTGAAAAATAATTGCATAAAACTCTAAAAGATATTTGGGCACGACATGGCGTGATTGAAAAGTATGTACAAAACATGTATTCCAACATTGAGAACAAACATTTCAAACTTACGGATGCCAAATCACTTGTAGGTTCAGGACTCAGGTGGGATCTTGTTTGTGGGCTTGAGTCATCCACGGTGTTACGCTGTTGGGACAACGAACTCATCCAGTTCTGTTCCGTTTTATCAAAGTTCGCGAACTGAAGGTACCCGTGGTCACGAAAACTGTTTAGATCGTGACCACGGAGGTGATCTGCAACAACTCCCTCGTCTAACTCCTCCTCCATTTCACCCAAATGGGTCATCATGATCAAAAACACCCGGAGGGTGCTGAAATCACGGAGCAAAAAAACCGTTTACGATACCACCGCCCCCACAATTGTCTTGAATCCAATCACATAAATAATTCAACAGATTTCTAACTGTCCAAAGCAAACAGAACGAAGTAGAGGATCCTCACAATGAACTCAAGCTTGCTGCTATCACCAAGTAATTCCGGAGGAGGGCGGCCCTCTGACGACCTTGTAGTACGAAGGAGAACTATTTGACCTAGACGCAATTTAATAATCGCGGGTGATTCAGAGCTTCTAAGTTCATACAACAGAAGAAAAAACCCTTCGTGCAATGAGTATATCACACACACTGTGTTTAAAGTGGAATCGCTGCTTTCAATAAGTATAGGAATTTTCGACTCATAAGTCATCTGACAGTGTTGTTTGGGGATAACTATCTAACATGTGCGGCCGCATGTCAGGAAATCACCTTATCGAAACAAGAGATATTTGACCATGCAGTCAAACTAGAATCAGCGGTCATTAATGCCAAACGGATTATAATTTGGGGTAGTTTCCCCAAATTCAATTCTGCGGCTCAGGCAACCAAAACCGTCCTGGAAAGCCTTACAGCTCCATTCCCCCTCCACCCCCAGACCAAACGGAGCATCGATGCTCCAATGCCACGATCGTGGCTGATGTCCAAATGTAAGAAGATAAATGTGGGCATCCTCCAACTCGGAGTCAGCGGTAGCAGATGCTCTCGCCCAAACTGAGACTCTGAAAAGGACGTGCAACCTTGTCCGCGGAGTTTCCCCAGACAGGTCACTGCATGCCTGAACTCAGTGGAAGGAATCCCTCGAAAGTAACAAGGGTGACAACGACCTTAAACTCCGCTGTCTGTCAGTAATCCCTCTCTCGCGAGTAGAACACCAAGCGACGACAACTTCTTCACCTCCTTTGACAAGACAATCTTCCAGGGCCTCAATCGCGTCTCCTGCAGTGAGACCTAAACACCCCCAACAGCGTCGGCACCGAGGAACCACACCTCTGCTACGATAAAGGCTAATCCCAGGGAGCCTCTTAATCCAAGGTCGCAAAGGAACGGTTTACTCGGCAC